CACACATTCTCCATCAATCTACTATTCCAAAATATATTCTTCCGAAATAATATCCATCAAACACGAGAATATTTGACACTATAATTGATCTAATTTATAAAGTATTTCATATAATGAAAAAAGTATTTAAAGGACAAATTTCGTAAGAGTGTGCTTAATTGATCTACATTCTTAATTTTTAACTCATCAATCATGTCACTGCACTGATTTTCTCCACATAAGAGTGGATGTCATTCAAGTAGTAAAGAAGTATGTATGCATTGTTCGGATTCGAATGTGCAATTGGACTAATCAAGAATGTGGGCTCCACATAATGCTACTTTATATCAAATTTGATGGGATTGGAATAATAGAAAAAAAAAAAACTAGAGAGAGAAAGAGGGAAAGAAGCAAAAGTAAAATCAAAGTGATTATAATTAATTCCAAATGTAACTTTAGAATATATGTATGACTAGACAAAAAGCAAAGGTCCATAATGAAATCCACAAAAGTTCCAATGTTTATAAACGAAGCCGTGCCATAAAGTAGTGGAGTTCTTTCTTTTTCAAATTATATTTGATTAAAGTAGATTTGATTCTTCTATAATTTGTTATGAAATAAAAGTTTAATTTCTTACCCGCTTGAGGAATAATAATGCGAAATGAAAAATTGAGAGTATGTTAAGAGCAATTTCATATTCAATGAAAGATTTCGTCAACTCGCCACTACACAATTTTACTACAACAAAGAAAAAAGATATTTAATTAAAGTCACGCATCTCATTTATACATGAAGTAAAAGGAAGGTCGTAGTATCCGTATATGGTGAAAATATTAAGACAGTATTATGCACGTTTAGGCATAACTTTACGAATGATTGTTACTTCTTATTTGTTCTTTTTTTTGGTATTGATAAAAATCAAATTTTAATTTAAGTCAAAGTCAAACGATCAATATTTCATTGGTTCCACAATTTTTCAACCACACATTTCATCAACTTTTATTAAAATCTACTAAAAATCTAATTTTAATATCCACCAAACAAGGACAAAATAATTCTTTTCTTCGTGTTATGAACATTGTATTATACCCATACTTTCTAAATTGTCTTTTGCTTTAAAAGTAATCTACGGTCTTTCCTTGCATTTGTAAGCAAAAGTTCTGACTTTCCTCACCTCTCTTTTATTCATTAAGCGTTTTGCCTTTGCCAGATTCAAGGAGAAACTTGTTTTAAATATACACGCTATTCTTTTCTTTTTCTTCTTGTTACATCATCAGAAACAAGAGAAAAGAATAAAGTATTGTTGATTTGGAATCATAACAAATGCAACTCATCTGCGTCTATTCAAGAAAAAATGGGTTTACAAATTGTAGTAAATTCTTTAAAACGATCATACTTTTTTCCCCTATATTTCCCCCATACACTCACCATGGTGGGTAGGGGTAGGGGTAGGGGTAGGGGACAGGGATGAACAAAATATGTTTTTGCAATGGCTTTCCATTCTTTACTCAACACTGTGCTTCTATGATACTCTACTAGAACATTATTGCCAACTTTCAAACATTGTAACAAAACATGTTTTAATTGTCAAATGCAGTGTCCTATATTGAGGCATCCTCATTATTTTTTGCCACCTTCTGACTAAAAATTAAGATCTAGAATAATGATATTTACAGTCGTTCAATAGCATTACTTTTTGTTTAAGTTCAGCATGTATGGGTATCTTTTGGACTTATAAGCGTGTTTGACCAATTCGGCATGCTCCAAGTCGTGTGAAATATCTATAATCTTATAATCATGTTCGAATATCATCTACCACTTATTTATGTACATCACTTTTTTTCTCTCAAATTCAAACTTTAATCCTCCTCAACATTTTCTAACAAAAATAAGACAATAATCTTGCATATCCTATTTGTAGGTGGTAGAATCATTTCAATCAAAATCAATGCCATTATTTGAGTAATTAATTATATAACCATATCAAATCAAAGCAACAAAATGCATGAGTGGTAGGGCCTATACACATGCTCTGCATCATCTTCATTTATATATACATATATATATATATGGTGATGTCTTGTAGTTTGCTTATTTTAGGACTTTTAGTACTAAATCATATTATCATGTTTCTTTTTGCCTGTCTAAACCTGTTATTTTCTATCATATCTTGGTGTCTATATCTTCTTCACATACAATAATACCCTACTACTACACCAGCTAAGGTTCCATATACTTTGTCCAAAATGACTTTGAATCTTTCTGTAGTTTCTGTCTAGGTACAATCTTGACTACAACAATGTTGTTGTTAATGATTGAGGGAAATAATGAAATTTTCATTGGACGTATGTAAATGTTATCGACTACAGTGACGGGCGCTAGACGAAATTAGAGTTTTCAGTTTTCACTTAAATTAATAACTAAACAGAATTCTGAAGTATGTGGCTGTTCTTAAATATTGTATGCTGTTATTTATGATGGAGTGGTTGAAATCATGAAATTTTCTTGGAAGTATAAAGATATCAACGATACGAAGACAGGGCACTAGATTTAATCGGGATTTCCAATACGGAAAAAAACTTTGTTTGGTAAAGTGGATTAAATCGTCTTAGACAATACTAAGGAAGAAAGTGTAGCTAGCTACACTTTTATTCAATGCGCCGTGGAGTTCTATTTAGTACTGATCAGTACCAAACATCCCGAAACAAATCCATGTACAATTCACTGCTATTGCTGACAAAGCCCACTCAAGCCTCCAATAAGTAGTGTTTGCACTTAAAATTTGTATAGACATCTGTCGAGTTCAAGGGCAGAACTTCTCCAATAAACTTCCAAAGGAGAAGCTTGTCTTCGTCCATCCACTTGCTTCGAGTGCCTTATCATTTGTCGGATCATTTTTCACATTAAGCATCATTGTGGTGTGTCCAATTTCTTTGCGCAATCCTTCAATCGTTTTTGTGTCTACTGAAGTAAGCATGGTTGTCCTTAAACACCATATGTTGTTATTTATGATCGAGTGGTTGAAATCATGAAATTTTCTTGGACGTACGCTAAATATCAACTATATGGAGACGGGCACTAGATGGAATTGGGAATTCCAACACAGAAAAAACTATTGTGAGTTGTGAGAATTCAAAATTCTGCTGTAGGCACGGTTGCCTTTCAATATTATATAATGACTTATTCATAAGATTAGAGAACAGCACACACTGCAACACTTTATTAGAAGTTAGAACACGTTTCTAACAGGAAAAAGTCTGCTTAAATAGTACAGTACAAGCCATAGTAGTATTAAATGTACCAAAAAGCTCAACACCATAATTTTCGTGTTTATGCCTTTTCAAAACATATACACAAGTATGAAAACGTGCTATACCAGTTGCATGACGCTGGTGTCATGTATGAAAATGTGTTTACAACTTTGGCGTGATGCTGACGTCATTTGCTGTAATGAGGTATAAATTGCTCTGTCAAGTGGTGGAAATGTTCGCTTTCCCCCTCGAGAAGGTGTAACACCTATATTTGTTTTCACGTTTATGTAATACAAGAAGATAACATCAAATGTTATGGAACTTAGAAGAAAAAGGATGCATAAATTATCGGATTTTCTAAAGCAGGAAAAATAATAGTAAATGAATGGACAAATTGGGATCAGCCTCGAGAAATTGACAAAGTACTCTTATCTTGCGATAGAACATTGAAAATTTTAATACTGAATCATAAAAAGAAAACTATTCATCTTCATAGTTGTGAGTTAAATATTTCAATTGCCATTGAATTTTCCCAAATGTTTCCCAATTACCATTGAGCTTTAAAAGCTCTCCAAGTTGCTACTGAACTTTCGAAAATGTTTCCAAGTTGGCAATGATGTTTAAAAGTTCTTTGACTTGTCACTGAACTTACCAAAAATGTTGTTCCATCCATCACTCGCCATTTTTTAAGTTATCGGACTAAAGGACATGATAGACAGAAAGACGGATGAAATAACATTTTAGTAAGTTCATCAAGTCTCTTAACTTTTAAAATAGCAAGTTACAAACTGGCGAGTTCGATAACATTTTAGTAAATTTAGCGGAAATTCAAAGAACTTATAAAGTTTAATGGCAACTCGAAAAACTTTTAAAATTCAGTGACAACTGAAAAATATTTGTATAAGTTTAGTGGCAACTAGGATATTGAATCCTCACAAATGTATCAAGGAAAAAATATAATATTTTAAATGGAAATTAAAGTGTTTGCACAGTATAAAATATCCTATCACCAAGTGAGTTCCCCAAAAAATTCAATAAAAGCATCATAAATTTACCTCTGCCATTGAGGGGCGAATCTCCGGTTCAGTTTGGACGCATAGGAATGCTGTTCTAGCCATGTGGTAAAGCTCATACCTGTTATACAAGTCAAGACGGGGATCAACTAGCTCGTGCAATGCTAGCGTCTGAATTAATGGTAGTGCCTGCAGCATCAATAGAGGTGTCTCATAGGAAGTAAAAAACCATATGCCAAAAACTCATAAGCAGTTCAAATAAGTGAACAAAATGCCACACATAGATGCTAAAATCTTCGGCAGGAACAGGACAAAATTTGGCAAGATAACGTACCCACTGCCTAAGGGACTGTTGATCTTCTCTTGTAGAATCTACTGCCTTACGTCCCGATATAAGTTGAATCAGAACAATGCCAAAGGAATAAACATCAGTTCTTACAGAAACAATGCCATTCTCTGCATACTCTGGTGCAAGATATCTGCACATGGAGAGAAACCTCAAGCTCGATTTATTTGGAAGGACGCTTATGTTTTATGCAATTTATGTAGTGACCATATTTTCAATTTGAAGTATAAAAACCTACACTCACCCAAGAGTGCCAAGAATTCTTGTCTGTATATCCTCTTCATTTGTCGTCCACTTTGCAAGGCCAAAGTCTCCCAGCTGTGTTTGAAGAGAATGTGCATAATTATGCAGTATAACAAAATTTTAACATCGAAATTTATGTTCCATTTATGATATTTTCCTGAAAAGCCATAACATAAGATCCGTCTTATTTACAATGGCCCAAGCCTGTAACAACTCGATTGTGCATTGAGATGAGAAAGCTGTATAAATCAGTGCTACCTGAGCAATGAAGATTTTAGACTGTTAGAGGAAGGGACTGAATCACGGCAATCAAAAGTGGATGAAGAAATGAACTCAAATTATCTCTGAGAAGGATTGATCAAGTCCTGTGCAGCCTTTTTCGGGTCAATCCTAACTATCTTACAGTACGAAATTGAAGCAAAATTATGGATAGATGCACCATCGTTCTTGCAGAAACAGAGTAGAGGCTTTATAATTACTTTTTAAAATTAAGAATTACTAGACACTTTATTGTATCTTAATCAGTTTCATAATTCAAGCATAAGGCTATCCGACAGTTCATAAATATTTTAATTAAAATATGGAGGCGTAGGGCTACAAAAAGAGGAAGATTGACTAATGGCAGGGGGCTCTACAACCCAATCGCACCGTGAACTCCAGCATCACAAGGAGACTATTTTACCGTAATGCAATTATATTCAATCACCCACCCAACAAGAGAAAAAGACAACGGCTAAGGAGATAGACTATAAAGATTACCATTGGAACATATTCGTGTGTGAGCAATATATTGCTTGGCCGCATGTCCCGATGAATGATGGGACTTCCTCGACATTCTTCATGCAGAAACCGCAACCCTTTTGCAGTTCCAATGGCAATAGCACGTCTTCGGTGCCATTCAAGAACACAATCTCTATTTTCTGACAACACACACAAAACCATTGAACATGGGGGGGGAGAGAGAGTAATGTTATTTCATACATGTTCTACTTCCAGCCAAAAAGAACTAATAAACTATTGATATTTGATAGATAACTTCAAATGGTTGTACATTTTTTACGTACCGAATAAATGCCACTCAAGTGATTTGTTGCAGATATACTCATAGACCAAGATGTTAAGTTTTTCCTTGCAACAATGACCAAGAAGCATCACAATGTTCTTGTGGCGTGCAAAGCTTAGGACATATACTTCGGAATGAAATTCCGAAAAACCTTGTGTACTTGCTTCCTTGTGCACTTTTGCAGCAATAAGCTGCCCATCCTTAAGCCGACCTTTATATACATGACCATACCCACCTTCACCCAGTGAATTATCAGGTGAAAAATCGTTTGTTGCAAGCTGTATCTCGGAATAACTATATCTCTTTGAATCTAACTCCGTCTTCATCCCACAAGAAATACAGAGAACGGGCACATCAGAAGATCTCTGTCGACTAGGCTTTCTTTGTTGTTTATGAATAATTGGGGGAGAAACAGTATATTTATTTTCTCCTTCAGCATAGCTACCTGCAGAAGTAATTCATTATAACTAAAAGTCTACAAACATGGGAGAGACAGAAATTAAAATAAAAGATCACAGAGGGTGCTCAAGTCCAGCATTTCTTTTGGTTAAATGAAGATAGAATTTTTACTCAATCTAGTAAACCAAAATCCAAGACTTCCACTATTTCCATATCTTGATTAAAATGACTAGTGTGATCTCATTTATTAGGATGATATGGAGACAGTATAAAGTGCGTGCCGGCCTCTCTTTTTTCCTTTCGAAGTGAGTTATGACTAAAAAGCTGATTGAAGGAACTAGGAAGGATCCTAATATTAATGATGATGCAAATTGTTTATGACAAAGTACTCGTATACAAAATGTAGAAAAATAAGATAGAATCCAAAAATCTAATAAAAGAATCCAACAATTTTGAAGTTAAACACACTACACACGCACACATAACCTTTCTAACCTGATTCATCTGGCTTAAGATTTGAACCAGATTCATCTTCTGAGGAAAAGCTGTACTGCTTGAAGTTGGATGTAAATGAGTTGCTCTTGGACATAACAGAACTTTCCAGTGAATCCATAGAAGCATTATAATTGATAGACATGGAAGTTTGTTCATTATTATTGTTGTCTTGAGCAGATGGGAGTGCAACAGGCTTGGATAGCGAGTAAAGCAGCTTAGCTTCAAACTCATCAAAATCCTTGTAAGAATAATCTGATCTCAGAACTTCAACAGATAAATTGTCAAGGACTAGTGCAACCTTGCAAGGTATGTATTAAGGTAAAACCTACATTCCCGTCTTAGATGCCTGTAATTATAAACTATAAGGTATGAAGTAAAACAAACTAGCGGTTAGAGAATACCAATGTACGTTTTGAAATACATGACAATAAGTTCAAGTAGGTATTCAATCTTGACACCAGAACATCTAATGGCACCAACCAATTAACATTTAGAAAATAAACATAAAGTAAGGCATAGGGTATATAATCAAGAAGAATAAATCTGTAATTTCTTCTGCTCAAATGTACGAGTAATGTAAAGAGTTTTTATTGATTTTCATTTAAAAGTATATTAAAATTTTTACTGACATTAGGTGTGGCTGTATGAGGATCAACTCTTACTAGCATCTTCTATATGATAGGTGCGCCAAGTCATTGAGAACAATGAATTTGGCATATGCACAAGGGTGTTTGAAGATACAAATGATCAAAAGGGTGAAAGGAATATTACCCATTTATGATTCGAAACGAATTTCATTATTGTTGCTTAAGTATTTGAGGCCAATCTTGAAGTTAGTGGTGGTCTATTTTCACGAAAATATTTTTCCAAGATTGATACTCATATATAAAAGTAACTTAAAGCGTTGCAAATCACTTGAATTGTTTGAAAAACTCAATGTGGCCCCTATATCCCTCATTAAACATTTTTTTATCTTTCTCCTTTCTTCATTAAAACAGAACATTCTTCCAGAAAAATAGCATATAATTAATCTGGACCGAATATGATCCACATATGTCAAAATCAAAAGCTACCTATCAAGTATAACCCAGTTTGCATTCGAAGTTGCAACTTCTTGTACAATAACCGTTCTCATTGGAGTTCCAACAGTAATCTTGACTTCAATATCAACCTACATAAAAAAGGACTTTGTGGTGACGAAACAGAAATTACAGAAATAGTCTGTATTCTTGAAGAGGAATTGTGATATTCATTGATATAAGTAAATGATAAGACATACTTTCAAATGCAGCCATTTGTTTCTCACACCGGACATCGAGAAATGATACGAAAGTAAGCATTTCAAAAAAATATTCTGCGAAAAAAGTGGTACTACAAATACAAGTTTTGGGACTCTTGCTAATATTTTTTTCAGTATTGAAACTAGTACCTCTATCAGGATAATGTTCCAAACATGTGTTAAACAGAACATTTCACTTGTTAATCCAAAAAATTCCTACTCAATTCACTTTTTCAACTACACAATCGCCATCCCATGTTGACCACTCCTCAAAGATATAACTATGCTTTTTAATATTTGGGACACTTCACACACATGGAAACTTGTCAATGTAAATACTTGTTACAGATGGCCAATGCAGTAACAACTTGTGGCTAATTTTTTAATTAGGTTTATTTCCTTAGTTTCTTAAACTGTGTTTGTTTAAACTCTACATAAAGAGGTTAGACTTGATTATTGAATAAACTCATATTTTCTCACTCCAATTTCTCTCTCCTTCTCTTTTCCTTTCTTCTACAAGTCTCATTCTTGTTCAATGCATCCTACATCATTTATATGTTCTCAAAATAGATATTGGTGAAGTGTTTGACATGATATGCTGATTTTTCATTAAGTGAAGACTAAAAAGACTATAAGAGCAATATTACCCCTTCGCCTTCGCATTCTTCAGCACTCTGCTGAAGCATGAGTCCATACGCATCAACTTTTTTTGAGACTTCTTCTTCTATAGCACGGATATGATTTGTTCCGAGGAAATTCTCAGAAGCTACTTGCATGTGGTAACCCACTGTGCACAAATACAAGTTAGAAATGAAGAAATAAAAAAATAAAAAAATTAAAGATAAAAACAATTTGACAGACCAAAGCAACAATAAAATGATGATGTCCATACTTCATCTGATCATATGCCTAATATTGTAGGATTGCAGCGTAAATGTCGAAGTTCCTATACTGTCCAAACAGTTATCTGCAACTACTGAGATGACTATACAGCTCTTCCATAATACTTACTAGTGCCTCCCCCTCCCATTGGATACTAATGAACCCTTAAACATTTATGCATTGCAACAAAGAATTCCTGCTTCGTAGTAATCATCCAAGGTGTGATGCAAGACTTCCAAGGTTCTTCTACCATAAGATTGGATATTTCTTAGAAACCTCAAAACATTCATTTAGTTCCAATTCTCCCAAACTTAAAAATTTCAAATTCACTCTCGAAACCCCAGGAGGAAAAAATGAAAGTACACTAACTTGCTTAGGGATATATTGGATTTTCATCAATGACAGATAGGGGATCATGCGAGTACAAATGGTCCGAGTTAACAGTAGATACTATAGTGGCAAATGTTCAAATAAAACTGCCAAAAACAAATACAGCACAAATATTGTAATTCCAAATGTAGATTATGTTAAATGTATAAAGAAACAAAGACTAAAAAGCATAAAACTTACAGGGGTGAAGAACTCTGTGTAGCACCCCGAGTACCGTGATTGTATCACCAGCATGAAGAATGCCCCCTTGCATCCTGATATTATGAATAGTGTGCTTAAACTCCTTATTTTTACGATCTTTAGTCGCATCAAACACAATCAAAATCCTCGAAGGCATTAGCAGATTACCCCTATTATTATTATTATGATCATGATTATGAGTATGATTATTGCTTCTATCCATGTCTAATGGCATATCAATCATAGAATCTTGAATGCAATGAACTTTCAAATGCTGGAACAGATATAAAGGAATTTATGCAAGAATTAACAAAAATTATCAAAATCTGAGAGTGAGAGTTAGCCAATCATAAATGACTTTACCCAGTAAAAATTACTCTCCTCGTACCTTTACGAGCGAGTTCGATTATATCTGGGGCATAATTCAGTAATATACAGAGGATATTCGAGTGAAGTGTGGAGGGAAGTGAAACCTTACGTGGAACAATGACAACGAGATGATTGGAAATCACTTCAAGACAAGATTTGTTAATCCATTTTTCGAATTTTGTACAGCTATAACTGACAAGGATTTCGGGTTTTCCGAGGTGGTTTCTTGAACAGGATGTGAATGACACTGTTCATACAGGCATCGGTTATAATTTCGACATGGTCGAGATTTTTTATAACGGTCTTCTTGCAATTAGAAACGGTAAATTCCTTACCTTTGCATTCATATGCTGTCCAAGATGTCCATTCAATGTTAAATATTCACGCGACACGCAAATAATGAGAGAGTAGAAGGGTAAATCGACCAAAATATTTCCTTTATTTTAAAATTAAACCGTGATGGCATAACTTATATTTACGATATTCCTTTTTGAACAAATTTATCCTTTCAGGCAGGCCGCTTAAATTAAATTAATGTTATTCTTTTTTCTTTTTCTTTTTCTGATCAAGTAACCCTACAATCTGATTTAAGATCAAATTAATTTGACCATTTATTTTTTCTATTATAATATTTTGTTTCACATTTAAGCTCGAGTCTTTGTCAACATGCAAAATGGCTAACAGATTCGAGATCAAATTAATTCTGATAGCGGGTTTGAGCGGTCGAGTATTAGTTTTTATTTAGGATCCATTTAATATGACTTTTATTTTTACTTTTACTTCTGATGAAAGTATTTACTAAAGAAGCTACTTTATATCAAATTTCTTTAAAAACTATAATAGAATGCGCTTCTAGAAAATTATTCAATTGTGTTTATAAAAATAGCTTCTTAACTTTAGCAATAACATTTAACTTTTCGAAAGTTTCACGAAACGGGACCTTCTATTATCTACAACATAACCATATTTAGTGTGAGAAATTGTTTGAGTTGAATCCATTTTTGGGGTTTATAGATTTTATAATAGGGATTTTTTAAAATGTGCGTAGTTAAAAAATAAGAATTTTTTTGAATTTACGTGTAAAATTAATTTATTGGGAGAATGTGTGATTGGAAATGAATTTAGAAAAAAATGAATTTTTAAAAAATGGGGCTCAAATAGGGGCTAAGTAAGAAATTGAGTTCAATATGCATTTAATTTTTATTGTTAAAAGGTACAAAATATAGTATAGTTTTTCAAGTCTTTCAAATTCGAAAATTATCTAAAAATTATTCATGTTTAGCTTGGGAGTTAGTTAAAAATCATCAACTCGAATTTTGTTCCATAAATAAATAGTATATTTTTCCAATTCTTCTCAAACAATAAACAAGTTAGTTTTACACGACACCACTCCAACATCGTCCAACTCCATTTTATACAAATGTCAAACTAGGGTATACAAAGTGATCCTTCGGCTCTCCATCTCTCAATACGAAAATGGATTCTCTCTCTTTTTCCATCGTTTCTCAAAGGTCATTTTTCCAAGTGTAATAGGCTCAATTTTGACCCTGATTTCTCGTGTATGTGAAAATGCATTTGAGCAACCAAATATAGCACAAAGATCTTCCCACATAGGAGAACGCCTTTGGCCTTAGAACACCACCAAAAAAATAAAAAGGTCATACTCAAGGTGTTCAGTTATGTACAAAGTGCAAAGATACTGCTCAGAATTTATGTTCACATTCAAGAATATAAGAACATTGATTTATAAGTCAATCCACGAGAGTATGATAGTTAAATTACAGAAAATGAAGAACAGAAAAAAATGGGTATCATCCCCAAATTTTGAACTCATTAGACCTCCAATCTTTTCTATGCACTCATTTTCTAAATCTGGCCGCCAATCGTTTCAAGCTGTTCTTAGTCTTGGTTTCATGTCAAACGTGTCCTACTCAATGAGGGATGTACGAATAAAATCAACGACATGGGAAAGAGTCGTGATTTTGCTAATGTATATTTGCACATTTAGTAGAAGATCAATATCAAGAAATATCTTGTTTCACATAGAAAAATTCCCTCTGTATATATAAGACGAGGATCAACAAGTTTGTTTAAAGCAAGCGGCTGAATCAGTGGTAATGCCTGAAACCCCAGAAGACATTCGGTATAGAAATATAAGATTAGTTGTGAAAACTAGTAACAGTTTGCAACATGTGGTAGTAGCACTTATTTCATGAGAAATATGGCCAGACAACATACCCACTGTATAATGGACTGTTGGTGTTCGTCTCTTGGTGAATCCACTATCTGGCATCCTGATATCAATTGTATCAGGACAATCCCGAATGCATAAATATCTGTTTGTACAGAAACAATGCCATTCTTTGCATACTCTGGAGCAATATATCTGCACAAGGCAAGAAATATCAAGCTCAATTCACTAGAAGGGCGACAAGGCACTCCAAAGTTCTTATTTCAAGAAAAAAACTTTTCTGGAATCCTTTTTCAGTACATACAGAACCTGAACTCACCCTGGAGTGCCAAGAATTTGATTTGCATATCAACCTCATCTGTCTTCCACTTTGCAAGTCCACAATCTTGCAGCTGTGCATCAATAAAATGAATAAAATCGAAGACATAACAAATTATCACCTCTAAATTATTTGCAGGTCAGCTTTTGAGATTATGATTTGAATAACCTTATAAATTGAATAACCTTGGTAGGAGGAGATTGTTTTCAAGACAATCAAATAGGAAGAATAAATTGTGTAAACGAATTAAATTAAGAGAATGAAAACATAGGATAATTGTACTGAGAATAAAGATTTTACCATGGGAACAAAGTCATGTGCGAGAAATATCTGGCTAGACCTCACGTCCAGATGAATGATAGGAAATCCCTGACACTCTTCATGTAGATAACACAAACCTTGTGCAATCTCAATGGCAATAGCACGTCTTCAGCACCACTCAAGAACACGATCCATATTATCTGATTATAAATATATAAGAATCAAATATGATGAGAGACAGAGACAGAGAAGGAATACATTTTCCCCCTTATGACTAGAAGGATAAATAACTATAGAAATGTAAAAATTCCTTTATATACTAAATATTTTTACCAAATAAATGCCATTCGAGAGAATTATTCCAGATATATTCATAGACCAAGATGTTAATGCTTTCCTTGCAACAATAACCAAGAAGCGTGACGATGTTCTTATGGCGCACAAAGCTCAG